CCATGGAGTGTTGATGCTGCCTAGCGGTGGGCTCCGCTCCGCTGGCAGGATCAGCCCCCCCCTGCGTTAGCATGCACTGCACCCCGGCCCCATCTCTGCCCGGTGCTCAGCCACCTTGTCCGTTTGTCCCCACCCAGCCTGGGCTGAGCCTGTGGCTTTCCCCTGGGGACCAGGAGGGAATTTATCGGGGGTCAGGAATATTAATGGTCCCCCTCGCCCCGGCTAGCTCCATGACCTTGGCTGAATCCCTCAGCATGGGAGCTGCGGTGCTGTCCCCCCTGTGTCACCCCATCGGGTCCTGGGACCTCCTGTGCCTCCGAGCCCTTTGGGGATGAGCAGCATCTTCCCCGGGTGAGAGAGCAGAACTTGGGAGAGCCCAGTAGGGCCAAGGGACTGACGGGGGCTGGGGATCAGGAGCTGTCGGGGGCTATGGGTGGCTGGTGGGGCTGGAATGGGGGGTGATGTATCCTGAAAACAGAGCAGGGCTTCCTGGCTGCTGCTGGGGTGCTCTGGGGACCAGCGAGCTTGGTGTGCATGGGGACAGCGCATGGGGACAGCATGTACCAGGTCATGGCATGGCACGTGCATGTGGCACCTGTGGGGTGCAGGGGACAGGGGGCACCAGGATGCAGGGGTCAGGGGACACCAGGGGACTCCTGCACCTCCATGGCTGGGGCTGTTCCCATGGGCTGGCATCTGCTATGAGAACAAAAGCACTGCTTGCACCCTGCACCCCACACCCCACAACCTGCTCCCCATCCTACACCCATGCCCAAAACTCAGCACCATTCTCAGGGTCACTCTGTGGGGCATGGGATCCCAGCCACTCTCGGCAGAGCTCCATCTATTCTCCGGCTATCAGTGCCCTCTCCCCATCTTCATCATCCTTGTGCCACCCTGGGCTCCTTGTCACTGCAAACAGGACCATGTTGGGTGTCTCATGGTGCTGTGTGCCGCATGGTGTGGATTGCCCAGAGCCCCTGGGATAGCGCAGGGTGCCCCAGCACAGGGTGCCAAGTGTGAAGGAGCCCAGCACCCACCAACGAGGACATGCGGGAGGAGGAGGAGGCTGGTGCCAGGGCTGCGCGTGTGTTTAGTTTCGTGGCTTCCTGGCTGGCAGGCTGCTGGCAGTGAGGAATAACTGAGTGGGAGAGTGTTGACTGCGCTGCAGGGAGATGGGGACTCTGGCACGGCAGGGGCACCCACATGGTATAGGACACCCACATGGCATGGGACACCCACACAGTGTGGGGTTCAGGATGGGTGCAGGGTATAGAGTGGGTGCAGGGTACAGAGTGGGTGCGGGGTCGCAGATACAGGGGCTGGTGTGGTGGAGCCACACATGATACTGCCAGGCTTAAGACCAGGGTGAGGGGCACCAGATGATCACCCTGGCTGATGAGAGGCATCAAACGATCACCCTGGCTGATGAGGGAGCCGCAGCCCCAGCATCCCACTGATGCCCTGTGCCATGCCCCACAGCTCGACCCTGAAAACACCGGCTTCATCGGGGTGGAGACGTTTGCCAGCCTTGTGCATAGCCATGAGCTGCCCCTGGACCCTGCCAAGCTGGACATGCTGGTGGCCCTGGCACAGGGCAACGACGAGGGTCAGGTCTGCTATCAGGAGCTGGTAGACCTGGTCAGTGCCTGGGGGCTGTGGGGATGGGGGCGAGTGGCTGGGTGCCAGCCCAGGGTGGGCACTGGGAACCTCCCTGTGCCCCTAGGGAGGGGGGCAGACACTGCTGGTCCCCAGGGTCTTCCTTAGCATGAGATGATGCCATGGCCTTGGTATGGC